GGTGACCGCCTGGGAATACCGAGTGTCGTAAGCTTTTTGTTTTTTTTAGTCAATTTGAGAGAAATCTATTTATCATAATACATATATTTATGTATATATGACAAACAATCTAGTTGAATAAACTGGACAAATTTTTTGTTAAATTAAACGATACATGTGACTTTATTCAAGTATATCATTAGAAAATGAAGATAAGATTTTTGATAAAATGTGTTTTAATTTTTTAGTATGTACTTTTTCATGACTAGAGAGAAAAATAAGTTTCTATTTTTGTTTTTCATTTTTATATTCGCTTCTTAATAGACAACTTTTTTTAAATTCTATTCGTCATCTTTGACAAATCATTTTAAATTTCTAACGTCAGTTAATTTTAAATCAATGAAATTTATATTCTTAAACCTCTAAATCGTTTTTCTTTTTCGTTCTTTAACCAATGATATCATTATTTATGTGTCTATATAAAGAGTAGAATTTACATTTTATTTCACAAATAAAAATGGCTCCAAATCCTAAAACACCAAGTAAAGGTTCAAAAATGATTACTAAACCAACAAAAAGCGGTGCTAGTAAAGCTAGTGCTAGTACTGAAAAGAAACCTCGTAAACATAAACGTAAGTATTAATATTCTTTTTTGTTTTGAAACATTTTATTTGTTTTTTTTAATTAGGTAAAGAAACATATTCAATTTATATCTATAAAGTTTTAAAACAAGTAAATATTTTTTCTGATGAAAAAATAAATAAATTTAATATTAAATTAGGTTCATCCCGATACTGGTATTTCAAGTAAAGCAATGTCAATTATGAACAGTTTTGTTAATGATATTTTTGGTAAATAATTTTGTGACTTTTTTTTATTTGAAAACAAATTGTTATTCTATAGAACGTATTGCCGGTGAAGCTTCACGATTAGCACATTATAATAAACGTCAAACAATTTCATCTCGTGAAATTCAAACAGCTGTTCGACTTTTATTACCTGGTGAACTTGCTAAACATGCTGTATCAGAAGGTACAAAAGCTGTAACGTAAGTTAAAATATAATCATCTATTTATTTCACATATATTTATAAGATAATTTTTTTTGTTTATAGAAAATATACCAGTCAAAAATAGTCCATAAATTGTTCAACATTATTTTTCTTTTTTCTTTTCGTTGTATTTAAATATTGATTTCTTCCTTCTCTTATATTAACCTGGATGATTTATTATTAGATATTAAAAATAAAACTAACGAAATATGCATTGATACTAAAATTTAGTTGTAGGTGATGTATTGTCTACTGTTGTTGTATCATTTTTGAAATCAAATATTCGAATTGGCCGACGACGATGACGTGTATGACGAATTTCATTAGAATTTGTACTTGCTCTAGTTGGCAATGAATGAGTTCGACGAAATGGACTAACTGGTGATTTAATACGATATTGTGAAGTTTTTAGATGTTCACTGAATACCTACAAATAACATAAAAAATAAATGCATTCTAATACTAATAATGTAATTTTTCTTGTATCATCAATCATATAATTATAATAAGGTTGTTTTACCTGGAGACAATCATAACAAATTGTTTTCGTTTGTTTATTGGTTGTATCTGCTTGTTCTGTTTTGTTTTCAATTGTAATTGTTGATGATGATGGTTTCATTAGAGTTGGTAAACGAACGGGTATTAAAAGTTTTAAAATAGGCGGTGTGAAACGATAATATAAACATTTTTCACATATGATCTGTTGACAAACAGAACAAGTTTCATGT